GGGGGGGGGGGGGGTTAAATAGCCAGCACGACACCTCTTCAACACGAGTGTGCCGTGTTACAAAGCTATGGAAATATTGTGGTGAGTGTGTTATGAGGCTGCTTACGCACATGCATGGCTTGGCAGGTGCCTGGGTTCGAACCCCAGTGGCAACAATTGCATCTCAGATTTTGATAATATAAAATCCGGGAGCGCGACGGGGTGGGGCAGCGTGGGCGCATGGCGCGCGCACGCGTCGTGATGCGGCTTCCTTTTTCGCCACGTGGAGCTTTCCTGCTGCAGCACCTTTCTTCGTTGTTTTTCCCGCTTTTTCGCCCGAAAACGGTCGGAAAACAGCCAAAAACCCGGCTGTCGGGTTTTGCCGTATTTCCCTGCTGTGCGGTGTGGTGGGTGGGGGCGGGGACCGTTCCCGCTCCGATACCAATGTAGCGGACCCACCAGGTGTGGTGCTCCGCTGGTGACAGAGATGGAGATGGAGGAAGAAGGAGGGAGCAAGGTGCACAGCGCAGCTCCCCACGCAAGACTCCAACGCACGTACTCCAAAATGTGCAAGTGAAGAATGAGACTGAAAACAGATAATGGCTGGGGTATACCCCAGCGGATTGACGGGACTGAACTGGACTGGCTGGTACCGACAGAGGTACCGGCCTGGACTGGCCTACCCCGAATACAACACAGGCCTGTGAGAACAGGCCAAGAGGCTGGTCTCACAGGCCAACCCGAGGTCCGCTACACGATCCTCGGCCTGTGATGGATTGCCTAGATACAAACATGCTTCCGCCAAGAAGCGGAACTCTACCAAAGAAAAGAAAACCTGAGTAGTCTAGGATGCGGAGCAAGCTCCATGCCGAGTCCATGCGATACAACCTATGATATAAAATGTCACAAAACAGCAATGTCACAGCTAACGGCCTAAGTGAAAGCAGAAGCAACTAACTAACATACATGTCCTAGGAAAGCAGAAAGTAGTGACAACTAGATCCTAGAATGTTGGAGGCACTAGCCTCAGTCTGGTAACAACTGACTAGTGTATAAGTCCTAAGAACAGCAAAAGCAGAACAACTAAATCCTAGAAATGTCAGAGGCAGTAGCCTCAGTCTGCGAGCAACAAAGCAACAACAAGTCTATCATATGTCACATGAGAAGTGTGTCACAAACCAAAGGGTGGGATGGTCTCTGAGGGTGGCGAATGCAGCCTAGGGGTCAAAAACTCCTAAGGGCATCCACACATAGATAATAGGGAGACACATGTCATCAGGCTCAAGGAGGGTACGAAACTGAGAGCGAACAAAACCAATGACCCTAACACATAGACCATCAGGGCGGGTAATGCTCGACTAAGGGTTGACCGCTATGGAGGGTCGACCATGCAAAGGAACAGGGGAGCCTGGTATACTGGGCGCACCTAGATGAAGCATGCGGGGCGGCCTAACTAGGGCGTGAGGGGCGGCGAAGGGTAGAAAAATGATGGGTGAGGGAATCATGCAAATGACTCCTAAAGTGAGGGAAGTTGGAGCTAGATCCGTAAGATGGGAAGCCAGGGCAACGCTACGGTCCCGATGCCTATGCGTATACCAAGGGAGAGCCCAACTCAGAGGAACCCGGCTAAAGGGACACCATCATGCGACACAAGCAGGGTACTGTACAGGGTAGAGTGGTAAGAGAGTGGCGACGTCTGAAGTAGGCAGAGCTGATCGTGATGAAGTCCATGAAGCTGCCAATGACGTCCACGATGAGAAGTACTTGCAGCACGCTCGCATGTTGGTGCGTGCCTATGACCGTGCTCGTCGTGCTGGGTTCACTTCTCCTCCTCAGCCCACTGACTCTCCTCCTTCTCCTCCGGCTGAGGAGACCGCTGAAGTCGAGCCTGCTCCATCTGAGGCAGACCTTCAGCAGCAGTCGGATGCTTCTGAGCGTCCACAGCGCACTCGTTGTCGTCCTGCTCGATACGACGATTGACTCTGACTTACCTTCCCACGTCTTTGACTTCTCAGTACTCCATTTACATCAGTTTTGCTACTTCAGCTCGTCGACGCTGCGGCTCTTCCTCAACGGCATTCCGGGGGCTCCCAGGTAGCCTCCTCATCAGGGTAACCCTTCCAACGTACGAGATACTCGACGTGGGGAGGGTTGTCGTCGGTGACTCGGCGACCAATGATGTCTGAAACGAGGAACTCCTCGTGACCGTCCACCATGATGGGTGGAGGGCGCTCGTATGGTCGTCCAACGAAACGCTCAGACGGTCTGCGGTAAGGACGCAGTAACGAGACGTGGTAGACATCATGCACACGAGCCTGGCGTAGGTAGTCGGGCAGCTTCACACGAAAGCTGACCGGGCTAGATGCGGTATCAGAACCGACGGCCTGGAGGATGCGGCATGGGCCAAAGAAGCAACGCCGAAACTTGCGAAGCGTGTCCGCTTCGAGCTGTAAGTGGAGGGCGTCGATAAGCACATCATCATCGACTTTGAATGGATGATCCATTCTCGATCGGTTCGCATGTGCTGCCATGCGAGTCTGGGAAGCGGCTATGTGCTCATGTGCGGTCTTCATAATCGACGTCATGTGTGCAACCCAATCATCCAGCGCGGGACAACTCGTGTCAGGGTGCATCTGGGACAGTCGAAGGAAGTCCGCGGGAACACGAGGGTGATAGCCGATGTCGCAATAGTAAGGCGACATCCCCGGGGCTGGCGAGACGGCGTGGTTGTAGGCTATCTCCGCGTGGGCAAGATGAAGATCCCACTGCTGGTCGTCACGAACAATCTTTCGAAGAATATCTCTGAGAGTCCTGTTCGTGATCTCGGTCTGACCATCAGTCCGAGGATGGTAAGACGAGGAGAAGCGGAGCTGAGTGCCGTATACCTCGTGGAACCGTTGCCAGAATCGGCTGGTAAAGCGCGGGTCACGGTCAAATATGATACTCAGAGGTAAGCCGTGGTCACGCACGACTCGGTCGAACACGATGTCGACGACCTCACGTGCACTGATGGCATAGCGGCACGGAACAAAGCGTGCACGCTTCGTGAAGCGGTCGACGACGACCAGGATAGCATTATGACCGCGAGGGGTCGGAGGACGAAGAGGACTGATAAAGTCCATCGAGATGGACTGCCAACGACCCTCAGGGATAGGAAGAGGCTGGAGCAAACCATAAGGCAAGTGGTTCGCAATGTTCACCTCCTGACAGGTCGGACACTCTGCGACGTAGTCCTTCACAAAGTCCTTGCGCTTCGGCCAGACGTACAGGCGGCTCACACGAGCCAAAGTCTTGTGGAAGCCCATATGACCGACAGCTGCCTGGTCATGGAACTCTGCTACTGCTCGGACACATAGTTGTCCAGTGGAGGGAACGCAAATACGGGGCTCTCTGGTGCCCTGTGAACCGTGCCAGTACACAAGACCGTTGTCCCCGAGAGAGCAGTTCGGGACGGTCTTGCAACTCCGAAGGGTCGCGTGGATGTCGCGATAGTCGGGGCAGTGGCGGTACTGAGTGCGAAACTCGTCGATCATCGAGTGGTGGACGGTGGTGACCGAGATGGAAGAGAGCTGGATGTGCTCCTGGTCGTGGTCAGGGCGCCGGGATAAGGCATCAGCGACCCGATTAGTTTCACCCTTGATGTGCTCAGTGGTGAAACTAAACTCGGATAGG